ACACATCTTTAATGGAATATATTCATTGATCCCTCTGAGATATTTCAGGATGCGCAGGTAAACAAACCTTAGGGTTGATCAGGCAGAGCGATGGCATGTTTGGATCCAGACCCACACTGGCGGGCCAAGTCTTTTCAGCTGGAACCAATAAAGTTATGCCCTGTTTCATACCAACAAATGTGTTGATGTTATTATCACCAAACAAAGCCTCAATCATTGCTGAATCCACAAATTTTCAGGACATGGGAGAATGTAAGCCTTTGTTCTCTGACCAATTGAAAGTAATAACATCAAGATCCAGTTTGCATCGCAATGGGCAAAATGAAAAGAACGAAGGATAGAAAAAGCCAAACCAGTGGCATACTGGAGCCAAGGTTTTCAGGGTCAAAGCATTAGGAATGCTACCATCAGCAAGGTGACGGCATTAGTTTCTCCTACTTCACTTTCAGCTTATGCATTCCTCACAGACACTGTGATGGAATAAGGTTAGCATTTCCAAAAAACAACCAGACTAGGAAGAGTTATCTTTTGGACTACACATCCCGGCAGGCCTGTAACCCCCCCTCCGAAATGTTTCAGATTTTTTTTTTAAAAAAAACTGGTTTACTCATGAATTTTAACTGGTTAACCAAATCCCCATGCTAAGTCTATGAGATGCAAAAAAATCAAGAGTCCCTCCAGAACTGCAAGCACTATCTCAAGCAAATATTGACAATTTATTCACACTGTCATTACTTGCAGCAATAGCCGATGTAGTTGTTCTGGTACAGCTGTACAGGAGCTCCAACTTTATTTGCTTTGTATTAAATGTTTGCTTGCAGTCCTAGGTTTCAGGGACTCTGCAGATAGGTGGCTTCTGGTTGCAGTCATAGGGCAAGTCACCTGTCCATCATCATTAAGTTTTGGTCCCACCCCTTGCTCAGGGCAATTGGGAAGGGAGCCATTTTTAGTTAGTCTCAGCAAGGTAAACTTATATATAGGATGTGTGCAAGCTTCCCCTGTACAAAAGCTTCAACCCTTAAGACCTTCCGGGGAGAAAGGTCTTAAGAGTCTCCAAAGAATTTCCAGGAAAACAGCCCTAAAGACCAAAGAACTCCAGCTGGAGAACATCTACTGCCTTGCTGGTAGGTCCACTCAGTGTTCGAGATGCAGTTCGACCCGGTAGCGGAGCCCACATCAGTAAGGGGTAGATTACAGTCAACCTGGGAGAAGTTAAAAAGGGGATTTTCCATTTAAAGTAAAGATGAAGTTATTGAAGACAGTGCCTGTCCTTCGTGGGCAAGATTAGGAAGTCACCAGTTGCATAAAGCTTGGAAGCATTTGTTTAGCTTTATTGAAGACAAGAGAAGTTTCTGTTTGATTGTTCATTAATACAAGACTTTGTTATACTTCACAAGCCATCTAAAGACTGTTTGTGGTGGAAAATCCCTAAGAGCTTCTCTTCGGGGGCCCTGGCTTCCTGCTGGGCTCAAGCTGCACGTCCTGTTTTAAAGGCACTTCATTTCAAGCCCAGCGCGTGACAGAACAGCTGGCGCCTCACCAAACTACATATCCCAGGATTCCATTGCATGGAAAGTGGCATCTACACTGCATTAAATCTGCAGAGTAGATTCAGCCAATACCTGGGCTCCCAAACTGATGATTTGAACACGAATTCGGAGGGGGGGGGGGCTCTGCCAAAAAGAGGATCCGGAACACCCGGTGAGACAGCAAACACCAACGATTTTTCAAAACGCAAGACAGGGGATTATGGGATCAATTCAGTCTGGTGTCCTTGGCAAAAAAATCCCTGATTTTGAACTATCTTTTACAGAGCCCTGGAGGGAGGGGGACACCTCTGATCACACTGAGAAAGGCTCAGCTGAAGGCCTGAAGTTTATTGCTATATTAAAAGGTACCGAAATGCCATATTGGAAACCAAAACACAAGAACACACTTGACTTGCACTGAGCAAGAAAAACTCCCTGCTGAGCTCCCCTTTGAAAACATCCAGAGAATCTGGGACAGCCTTGAGTTCCAGAAAGGAAACAAATGCCACTGAAAATCAGCCCTTGTTTGCTGGAATTCCTCTGTCTGGGAAGGAAGGCTCCAAGACTTGGCTTTGCACTTGAAATTCGAATAGTCTGGAGTTTGTTCTCAACATGTTTCCCGTCCAGTTCTTTGTGCCTTGAGAACATTTACGAGCCCCGTTTCCCAGTGCTGGGTCATTTCAGCTGGAGAATAACCCATTCTCTCTCTCTCTCTCTCTCTCTCTCTCTCTCTTCCTGGGCAAGAGATAGCAATGGGAGTGTAGTCCTTGCTTTGAGGCAGGAATGGGGGGGCTCAAAGCAAGGTGGGGGGCCGGTGTATATATACCTGTGGAATAATGTCCAGGGTGGGAGAAAGAGCCTTTGTCTGTTTGAAGCAAGTGTGAATGTTACAATTAGCAAGCTTGAATAGCATTGAGTAGCCTTGCAACTGCAAAGTAAATCAGTAAGGGAATCTGTATAGAGGTAGTGTCAAGACCCAGAAGCCCCAAGAACGCCAAACACAATATAAAAGGTCCAAACACAGGTTAATTGAACACAAAAAGGCTTTAGAGACACTTGCTTCGGTGTCTCTAGCACAAGTAAAAGTCTATAGCAACCGCTACGTAAAAAACTCTATTTTGGGCCAAAACTAACAAAATGAAGTTCAACAGTGACAAATGCAAGATACTCCACTTTGGCAGAAAAAAT